CTTCCCGAGGCACATGAAGCTGAGAGGGCTGGAGAGGGACCCGGACGTCTTTGACACTCACTGGATTGCCTTTTGACTTTTCCTAGAACTCCTCCTCCCCCGTCAGCCCTAGCATGACTTCCTGCCTTGGCTAATGTCTACTCACCCAGTCTATCAACAGGGCCTAATAACGTTCTCTGCATCATCCATGGAGCCTTTCTTCTCTTCTCTCTTCTGTGGCTGCCAGGTGACCTTGAGTCACAGGCTCACCCCTCCCCCATCTCGAAAGCTGAATCCCCTAATTTATAAAGCTGGAAGTTTTGTCTAAACAACACTGAAGCCGTCGTGCTCCTTACGCTCTTTCTGTTGTACTTGCTCTCCCACCTGTCTTGAGCTCCACTTCTCAGTTATCCAAACAACTGATGTTACTGATCATCAGTCCTTCTTTTTTTAAAAAAAAAAAATCTATTTAAAAATTAAAAAAAAAAAAACCCTCATACCCAAGCATGGAGGTACATGTCTGTCTTCATAGCATGCGGTGGGCAGAAGGCAGGGGCGGGAGGACTAAGAGTTCATGTCAGCCTTAGCGACAGAGTCTAGTTCCATGCCAACCTGGCTACAGAGACCCTGTCTCCATGAAACAAGAAAAGAAAGAAAAGGAGAATTCATGAATGTCCATTAGGCTTCATGAAGGACCTTGTGACCACTTCTATCGGCACTGTGAGTCTCAGAGTTTGGCAAATAGCGGGAGCATGGCAAATAGCGTTGAGGTCTGATGGGTGGACAGATGGATTAACAAGCAGACGGAAAGAATTGCCATTGTATCTCTTGGGGAGTCATACAGTGCAGAGGAACAGTATGGTTGATGGTTGTGTTTTTGTTTTTAAATCATCCTAATAGCAGCCCATTCCGTTAAGACTTTGCCCGTCTGTAAGGAAACAAATCTGAGAACTTGCCATTGCTACCCTAATTCATCTACGGCCCATCACTCGCCTAGTGTATCGTCACCTTGTCTGGTTATTCTACTTTGAGGAGAGCTGTCCTTTGTCAAGGGTGTGACTGCAGACAAGATGCCTGACAGGGATCTCCAGGCCCCCTCCAGGAGAAAAGAAAGGATTTGAGCTGGTTTGGTTTGGTTTTGTTTGGTTTTTCGAGGCAGGGTTTCTCTGTGTATCTCTAGCTGTCCTGGAACTCACTCTGTAGACTAGGCTGGCCTTGAACTCACAGAGATCCGCCTGCTTCTGCACCCTGCAGACTTGAGCTGTCTTAGCGCTGCTCTTCTCCCCTGTCACTGGGTGCCATGCTCTTTATTCACCAATGCCACCAGCAGTTCTGGGAGGAAGGTGGCACTATAGTCAACCTCATCTTTTTTGTTTGTTTTGTTGAGACTGGGTCTCACTATGCAACCTGATATCCTGGAACGCCCTGTGTAAAAGGCATGGACCACCAAGCCCCAGTCCTCAATCTCTTTCCACAGAGAAGCTGGGGCTCAGAGGAGCTAAACAGCCTGACCGAGGTTAACAGGTAGCAATGGCTGTAATCGGTAATAACACAACAGATAAGGCATTCAGCCCAGTTCAGCCATCTGAGTGCTTGACCCCCATCTCCTAGCCTAGCGGCGACATTAACCCCCCCCCAGAAACCAAAGAAGCCCCCACAAAGATTTGGCACTGTTTCTATGGCTCCAGGTCCCATCACCAGCCCCTTTAATATTTTTTTAATATTAGTACATTTTCAACTCAGCAAAGGGAATTTTTAACTAAACAAAGAGAAGGGAGTGTGAGTGATTCCAAAAGATTAGTAATCTTCACAGATCCTTCCTACCAGTAGCTAATCCTGTTCCCGTCATGTCATCTGTCAGATCTCAGGACAGCCATACAGTCCTCAGTGGCTCTCGGGATGTCAGTCTTTGTCACTGGTGGCACCATAAGTCAGTGAGAGTTATCCCTAAAGGCTGTTCTGGATAAGTTTAGGCTACACAGTTGTGATACCAGAGACACATATATGTAACAATTCTGATTCAGCCCACATCTGAGTAGGCGTTCCCCTTCAAAGTCACCCTCAGTCCTGCTGAGAGAGTTGCTGGGTCTCCCGTTCCCTCCCAGATTGGTTTGAAACCCACTGTGAACGTCGTCAGGGTGACTCCATAGCTTCGATTTCAAGCAACATTATGACTTTGACCACTCATTTTCCACCAGATTCAGATCGCAGGGATTTTGCTGTTTCCGAAATTGCAGACACACCCTCCAGGAATGAAAATCTGCTTTTACTGAGGCCAATCGGAATCCTGACACCTCTGGTCACCACAGGAGGAGAATCTGAAGAATGATTGAACATGGCTGGTGTGTGACCACTCAGGGCCCAGAAGGCATTTGCATGTGTGAGTTCTGAGCTTTATGTTTTTTGTTGTTTATTACTTTATAGTTATGATGGCCACCGAGAACAGAGTCGTGGAAGCGGTGATGAGGTGTGGAATCCTAGGTCAGCCACAGATCAGCCAAGCCCTGCTGAGGGGATGTCTGAAGTTTGTAGTACGCAGGGTAGGCCCAAGCTAAACACTGCCTAAGGCTGCCTGTGCGTCTGTATCTCCTTAGCCCCTATTTGCCCTGGGAGCCAGGTCGGGCTGTGAATCAGGAAGAGGTGAGGACATCAACAATGCTTGTCATAGCTGTGGTGAGGCATCGGGTACTGCAGGCATTCACCCCACTCCACACACTTCCTACTCAAGCCTAGTGCTGTTGGGATCTCTTACCTATTTCTTGCTACCAGCCCCAGGAGAACCTGCACAACCCCTCTATGGATCCTAGGGTCTACGTCTTGGTGTGATGCAGGTATGCCTCCGAGGAGAACCAGAAAAGAAAGAGTAGGAGAAAGAAGAGAAAGCCATAGGACTTTGAAAGAACAGGTGGAGTCAGGACGTGAGTGGGAGTCAGGAAGGGGTGTGGGGGAGGAGGGACAACTCCCAGATGTTCACAACCCTTTGCCCTCCCGTCCCCAGCTAAGGTCTGCCATCTCTGAGGGGCCATGTCAGAAGGGGAGAGCAAGGACAGCTCGGGCAGCGAGTGCCCAGTGTGCTACGAGAAGTTCCGGGATCTAGAGGGCGCCAGCCGGACCCTGAGCTGCGGCCATGTGTTCTGTCACGACTGCTTGGTCAAGTACCTGCTCTCTACCCGGGTGGACGGACAGGTGCAGAGGACTATTGTCTGCCCCATCTGCCGCTACGTCACCTTCCTCAGCAAGAAGAGCTCCCGCTGGCCCTCCATGCTGGATAAGAGCTCCCAGACCCTGACGGTGCCCGTGGGTCTGCCCTCTGTGCCTTCACCAGACCGTGGGGGCCACACAAACCCCCTGGCTGTCACCCAGCAGGTCTGGAGACAATCATCAAGCCAGGGGACTCAGCTCCCCTTGGACCTGTTGCCCACCCTACCCCGGGAGTCACAGGTCTTCATTATCAGTCGCCATGGGATGCCACTCGGTGAACAAGACAGTGTGCTGCCCCGACGCAGCCTGGCCGAGATCTCTGAGGCGTCCCCAGCTCCCAGCACCACCCGCTCCTTCTGCTGCCGCTCGCGGGCCCTTCTGCTCATCACCCTCATTGCCGTGGTGGCTGTGGTAGCTGCCATCCTGCCCTGGGTACTGCTGGTGAGAAAGCAGGCGTGAGGGGCAGTATGCAGAGGCCAGGGGAGCGAGGCCCAGCATCGCCGTGGCTAAGGAGAGGGTGGAGGGTCCCCGTGCCCATCTGGTACAAGCTAGCTCCACAGGGAGGTCCTAGGCTCAGAGTGGGTGGGGCTAAATTGAAAGTTTAAGGGCTTTGTCTCCACCCTTTCCATCCCTTGTCCTTTGGCGTGAGGAGAGGTTGGGGCAGAGAACCTCTTAGGTTTGCACTGAACCGAGCAGCTGGCTCCCCAGGTGTGGCCTCATGAGAATCCCCAACAAACACCCCTTCTCTAGGCTGGAACTAAGCGAGAAGGTGAGTGGCCACTGCCCTCACCTTTAGTAAAGTCACAGACTTTACCTGATAAGTAACCAACCTGAAGCCAGGTAGACCTTCTAGGCACAAGGAAGTTCTGTGTGCTGCCAGGTGGCGCCTAATGAAGGCCTCTTCCAGGCCAGAATTCCCTCCCACAGAGGATTCTCTGCTTCTCAGGAACACACAGAAGTTCAGACAGGGTCCCCACCTCAGTTTCCTGGCATCTTAGCCCCAGGTAGGCCCCTCAAGCATTCCTCTGCTAAGTCTCAAAGGCTGTATAGCCCAGGATGGGGAGGGAGAGGAGGAGCGACAGGAAAAGGGTCTTCTGGATAGTCAAGGGAACAACGTGAACGAGGCCACGGTTGGCAGAATGGCCACAGAGGCCCTTTCTGCAAACCTCCAGGCCCAGGAAGCAGGCCCGATTTTGAGTCTTGGGGATCTCGAGGGTAAAATCAAAAGGCAAGGGGTGGAAGGGACGCCCTACAGGTGAGACTTTGAGTCAGCTGAGAGCTATGTGAGCAAATTAACCCCTGGGGGCTTCTACCTTCCTCCCTGCCAAGTCCACCTCCTCATGACCCAACCACTCATTAGAGGCCGCACCAGCTGGGCCAGTTTCCCAGGTGGATTCTCGAGGGCTGAGCTGGGTGAGGAAGGGTGGGGAAGCAAACAGCTGTGCTTGTCAGCGACACTGCTGTCTCAACAAACGCCGAGAGCGGGCACCTCACCGGTGAAGACTCTGGACGTCCTCAAGGACGCCAATCCCTTGTGACTGAAAACGACAGGCAGGGACCGCCAGCAGCTGCCACAAGGAGGAGGGGTCTGGCATCCAGGGTGCAACAGTACCCAAGCCCATCTGCCACTCATCCCCTTCTCCAGAGAGGTTTACTGTCTGCATGGGAAGAAATAACGCTGAGCCGCTTAGCTAGTTCTCAGCTGGCTACATGGTTGACATCTGGGGACCCTCAAGGAAGAGGCTCGCCCTACAGGGGACATTCGCAACAAAGCGGGGCTGTTTTAAAGTACTCGCCAGCTGCTTTATACATCTAAGAGTAGAGAACACAGGGGCTGTGTGTGTGTGGAGGGCACAGGTAGGCTGTGGGAGGTGGGCAATATTTATTATGGAAACAAAAGGCACACGAGCTTTGCAGACTTTGAGTCGGTGTCCCCCTCGGGCAGGCTGCTTGAGTCAGTGTCATGGGCCTTTCTGAGACTGTTGTGGTCGCCGAGTCTTCCTGACTTCCCGTGATGTTTTCGTATTGTTCGGCTGCAACTTGTAGAGGCTGCTTCTTTCATTTTCAAAACAATGTCTAAAGCTATTTTTCAAATAAAAGTATATATTTTCTCAGAGTCCGAGACCTGGCAATGCATGTAGACTCCTGAGGTGAGTCTCTAGACTGATATACAGATCTCAAGGCCCCCGAGACCCACTGAGGGAAAAAAAGGGAAATCAAAACCACTGGCCTGTTTACCACTTATCTTATTAAATCCTACCAAGTCCTGCTGTGCCAGTGAGGCTGGGGGTGGTGCCTGCAGGTGAACTCTTGGTGGGGATACATATTTATAAAACCTTACCAAGTGAAATCCGACACATATCACTCAAAGTTTCCACTTTGGCCCAGCAATCTGTGTCTAGAAATATGTCTTCTTGGTCCCGCTGTCCAGCTCTGTGGTGGCATTCACACAAAGGTATGCGATGGTGGTTGTATTTGCAGTAAGGTTAGAAACCCCCGAGTGATAATCAACAGACACCTGTTACTAACCTCGAGGTCCAGGGCTGACGGTCCTGAAGAGGTGTGTACACTGTGTCCTATACGTTACGATTTACGTAGAAAGGAGAATAAATAAATATATTCCGACTTGTTCATATGTGCACTACCTGGGGAAAGGAGAAAAATGAGAAACAACTCATAACTCTGATTAACTGTGGCAAGGAATGAGAAAATGATGGGATGGAAGACCTCACTTTGTCTTTTATGGTTTTGGACGTTTAAGTCAAGTGCGTGTTTATTCAAAACCTGAAGAGAGGGCTGGGAGGACAGCTCAGTGGTAGAGAAAGTGCTTAGCAGGAAATAGACCCAGAGTTCAATTCCCAGCACCACAAAGAAAAATAAAATAAAATTGAAAAAGAATCAACACTAAAGAGTGTACACTACTCTTGCCAGGATGGGAGACCATCTCAAGAATATCTGAGGGCTAGCGCAAAGGCTCTTACTGTTCTTCTAGAATACATGGGATTGATCCCAGCACCCATAGGGTGGTTCCAAGGGACCTGATGCCCTCCTCTGGCCTCCATGGGTACTACACATACAATGTGGCGTCCGTGCATACATGAAGGCAAAACACTCAGACACATATAGTAATAAAATTTTAAAATGGAGCTGCAGAGATGGCACAGCGGTTAAGAGCACTGGCTCCTCTTCTAGAAGACCCAGATTCAACTCCCAGCCCCACAGGGCGGCTCACAGACATCTAGAACTGCAGTCCCAGGGCACCTGAAGTCCTCTTCTGGTCTCCATGGGCGTGCCAGGCACACACGTGTCGAATAAACATGTGTACAGGTAAAACACCTATACACAGAAAATAAATAATATGTAAAATTACAAATAACTTTAAAAAGAACATTTGAGAACTGCCAAAGCGCTGGTTCTATGGTTTAAGAGTGTCAGGTGAGCGGGGCAGTGGTGGCGCATGCCTTTAAACCCAGCACTTGGGAGGCAGAGACAGGCAGATCTCTGTGAGTTCCAGGCCAGCCTGGTCTACAGAGCAAGTCCCAGGACAGGCTCCAAAGCTACAGAGAAACCCTGTCTCAAAAAACAAATCAAACAAACAAACCAAAAAAGTGTCAGGTACTGACTGTATAGGGCTGCTTCGTCCAGTTTAGACACATGACATCTTATGCGTAACAGGCACTGAGAGGTAAAAAAAAAAAAAAAACCTTCATCTCGTTGCTTTTCCTAAATTCTTGTGGATTTCTTTGGGTCCCATCATTCAATGTGTTATTACTTTGGGACACTTTAAGAACTAACCACGCCCACCCAGCCACTTCTGACCTCCCCCTTCGCCATCTTTCTCTCTTGTGTGGTTGTCTCCTGTCGTGTGCACACGTTTCTCTCTGTCTCTGTGTCTTTATGTCTTTATATTTGTCTATCTCTGTCTCTCTGTTTTTCTATTTCTTTTTAAGTTATAAATGTTTACCCTTATGTTTATTTACTATGTCTTGTGAGCCTTTTATCCGCTGTAACCGCCCGCCTGACTCCCCCGGCCGCATGGCACTGTAGGGACTCACGGCCATCCTTGCCGGACTCCGCGAGCCGCCCGGGACTTCCCATCATCATATTCATCATAAAAGAACAAAACAATGTATTTTATGTTTTTGTTAGTTTGTTTTGGCTTTTGAGACAGGGTTTCTTTGTGTAGCCCTGGCTATCATGGAACTAGCTCTGGAGACCAGGCTGGCCTCAAACTCACAGAGATCCGCCTGCCTCTGCCTCCCAAAAGCTGGGATTGAAGGTGTGCGTCACCACCACTTGGCTTCAATGTGTTTGCTTTGACTCCCCTTTCTCCTCCTTTCCTTTACTGTCTTAAAACTGTGTCACTTAAGTAGCTATCTGGGAAAGGTAGTTGCTTACAGCACAGAAAGATAAAATTTGACAGACAGGTGACAGATGAAGACACTAGAACTTGACTTTCCAGAAGCAATGAAAAGGTGGCCACAGAGACTTTCTTGTTCCTTACCTCAGCTGAATTGACTGCTGCTATGCTTCCTACACACACAGCACCCCATCTTCTTCCTGGGGTCATTGAATTGTGTCCTGGGGCCAGTATAGTAAGTCTTTGTGTTGTTTATGCCTCCTCCTGGGCAAAGTGCTCCTTCAGGGGAGGTTAGAGCTCACAGAACCGGGCACAGAATTTAGTAAATAGTGTGCTCTACATAAAAGAGAAGAGCTACATAAAAAAATAGCTCCAGGTGTGCTGGGCGGTGGAGGCTGTTACACAGAGAAACACTGTCTCAAAAAAAAAAAAACTAAATAAGTAAATAATTAAAATAAAAAAGTGATCAGGCGTTAGTGGCTCACACCTTTAATCCCAGCACTCAGATGGCAGAGGCAGGTGAATGTTTTGAGTTCAAGGCCAGCCTAGTCTACAGAGTTCCAGGACAGCCAAGGCTACATGGAGAAACCCTGTCTCAAAAAACTAATAATAATAATAATAATAATAATAAATTTATGTAATGCATAGCTGCATGCATGCATACATGAATGAATATGATGCCTTGGTATCTAGAAAAACATGTATAGTTCAATTTAGTTGTGAAATCTGGATAAAAATTCCAGCTTTGATGAGTCTCAACTTTATAAAGACCTGCTTCAAAATGATCCCAGAGCATCAATTTAAAAGATCTTTTTGGAGTCAGGTAAGAAAGCAGAGAAGACAGAAAGAAGGTGGAGCCAGGACACCCAACAGGCACGACGATAAGCAGACTATAACTCGGCTCCTGGCAATTTGCATCTTTGCACAATTTGCACAACAAGCTTCCGGCTGAAGACAGTGGCCAAGCCGTCCAAAGCCTGAGCTCAAGGGATCGTTCTGATGAATCAGAACCCGCTGACTGAGGAAGAAAGGAGGCCGACGAGAGGGCGGGGCGTCCACAGAGAGTGATGGGAGCTGGGGAAGAGGAGAGGAAGAAGATGAGGGAGTTTCGGGGAGGAGGCGTTGATTGTTAAGGAACCTAGAAACTCTTCCTGAAAGCAAGTTAGTGAGTCTGAAAAGTAGGAAAGGACTCCAGGAAGGGCGGGAGCTGCGGTGGCTCCCTCAGGCCCTAGAACCCCTGGACTTCCCTCTAAATAAATGCCTCTCTCTTTAGCCACAGAACCTAGTTCCTGCAAAAATGTCATCTGCCTCTCACCTCCTCGCCTCATCTTTTCCCTCAAGCTATCCCACTGCCTCGTGGAGCTAATTTTATCATTCTTCAAAACTCAGTCAAGGCTGACCTCACCTCGGAAGTCTCCGTGTGATCCTGAACTTGCTGCTTCCCATGTCTCTCTGCCTTCTTGGATCAGGATTTCCTGCAAGAACAAACCTGGAATTATCTTGTCACTCCATTGTTTAAGGCTGGCCCATGAAGGGTGCTCCATAAGCTTTTGTTGAATAGAATTGCTGGTTTTGTTCAATTTTTAAATTTTTATTATTTATTTTTTGTTTGTTTTTGAGAACAGGGTTTCTCAGTATAGCCCTGGCTGTCCTGGAACTCCTTTTGTAGGCTGACTTCGAACTTTCTGAGATCTGCCTGCCTCAGGTATTAACCGCCAGCGATTTTGTTCAATTTATTTTTCTTCTTTTATTTTCTTCCTTTCTCTCCTATTTATTTATTTCCCCCTGAGATGGAGTTTCCCGTGTAGCCTTTACTGTCCTGAAATTCACTTTGTAGACCAATGTGGCTTCAAACTCAGAGATCTGCCTGCCTCTCACGCCCAGCTTCCAATTTTTCAATTACATATAAAATTGGGGCTCCTTCCTTTACAGAATATTTAATAGCACAACTATTTTAAAATCATGGAAATACATGACTCAACTTTGAACCCTCAAAGGTGTGGTTTCTCTCTCTTCAGTTTGACAGAGGTTCCTACAAACGGAGCAGTATAGTTTCCAGGGGGGCCTAGAGAGACAGCCTCATGGGCTCTGCTGTGAGTCCTAGGTCCTGTGTGACCTCCCATTGCTCTAAGGCTCAGTTACCTCATCTGTATACGGAGGGCAATACACCCGTATCAGCATAAAAGTCGTTAGTAATGTAAAGGGCGTGGAAGAGAGTGCCTAAAATTCAGTAAGCTCCCCGTGTCTTACGAAATATGTGTCTCCTGTCAGGATGACACCTATATTATTCATTCAACAGAAACCGATGAATCCTTTTGCAGGGAAGCGGACCCCCTTGCCCGGCCTCCATCAGCTCTGGAACTGGGAGCTGGCGGAAGTGTTTGGTAGTTGAGGTTTTAAAGTACACCAGTCTGCACTGACAGTCCTCCCCGTGTCTGTTTCCTGAAGCGTGAGCTGAACCTTGGCATCACCAGCGAGTCATCCAGATCCGGGAGGATCGCAATATCGGACAGAACCTACCTAGCTACGGGGACGGCCGGCTGGAGCTAATTATAAGGACGATCTCCAGTCACCTAGGTAACTGGCTGGCCAAGGTCCCGGAGCCATTTGGCGGCAAAATAGAATTTGCACTTTCCCGGCTAGGGGGACGTCCGGCGCCCAGGAGAGAAAGACTGGGGTCGTCCGGTACACCATCTTCTCCATCATCCGGCCACTGCCTTCCGCAGAGCATTGAGCCTCTCACCCACCCCTCCAAGGGGGGGAACACCGGACCCCTCGCAGTTCCCCTCCTAGCCACTAGGGGGCACTGATCTGCCATTGCTAACTTCCTCTTCTCGTTCTCTTGTCTCCCTTCTCGTTCCGAGTCTCTCGCGAGATCTCTCGGCAACTTACAGAACCGGAAGTCGCGTATAGACCTCTTTCCTTTTGCGGCCATCGCTAGATCGCAGCCGGTGAGTGTTAAGCGGGTTGTGGCGGGCAATCCGCAGCCATCCGTGCCTAGGCCGCGAGGCTTTCTGTCCCGAGGCCCCGAGACAGTCTGCTGGCCCGACATTAGCCAGGGCCATGGCGGAACGGGCTCGCAGGGCTGCAGAGGGACGGGGGCCAGTGGCGAATCATCCGCTCGTTAGCCCTCTGGCCAGACAGAGGGGTTCGGCAATGCGAGGGCCGCCCTAGTTTGCAGACTAAGGTGGGGAGCCCCGGTATTGGCTTTGGAGGGGCAAAATGCCGTCACGCTCGAGTCCGTAAAAGGGTAAAAGGACGACTCCGCCGAAAACTTACGTTGTACTTGAAAAGTTGTCAGCATGCTTTGTCCTAGTGAAGAGAGTGTTAGAAGTTCCACCCTCGCATGGCAGTTTAAAAAAAAATCCTGTAAAGCCAATAGTTGGAGATGGCGAGGTCTGATGGAGTAACCGAACGGGGCATCTTCCAGTGGGTGTTCTGTGCTTTTGAGATGGAATTGTTGCTGTTTGGGGAACCGGTTGAGACTTGAGGCATTAGTGGATCATTGGGGGTCATTTTTATTTGTTTATTTTTTAAAGCCAAAATGAAGTTCAATCCCTTTGTGACTTCTGACCGGAGCAAGAACCGCAAACGGCATTTCAATGCACCTTCTCATATTCGGAGGAAGATCATGTCTTCCCCCCTTTCCAAAGAGCTGAGACAGAAGTACAATGTTCGATCGATGCCCATTCGGAAGGATGACGAAGTTCAGGTGTGTGTGGATTTTAGAGTTATGATGGGAGAGGGATCCCATAATTCTCTATACTAGCCCTCCAGTGTCCAAATAGGGGGCCACAAGAATAATTCTCGCATAGATTCCCTGCCTTTCACGTAATAATGCCTGTACTCGATGTTTGGAAGAGTTGCTTTGCTTCAAATGAAAGAACTAAAAGGCAGTGTGTTCCTTGATCCCTACCTCAACTCTTTCTTATTGGGACTGTTCTGTCCGCCAATGTCCTAATGTCTGTGTGTGGTGGGGGGGTCTATTGGCTCTCTAGTAAAATGGAAAGTTCAGGTTGGGTGAAATTTCCTGTAGGTATCATTTGCAACCAGTGATTGGTAAATCTGCCAGTCCCTAAAACATCTTACGCTTTTTGGTTTGGGTTTGTTTGTTGTTTTTTTTTTTTTTTTTTTTTTTGAGAAAGGGTTTCTCTGTAACTTTGGAGCCTTCCTGGAATCAGGCCTCCTCAAACTCTCAGAGATCCACCTGTCTCTGCCTCCCCAGTGCTGAGATTAAAGGCATGCGTCACCACCCAGCACAACTTACACTTTTTGAAGATACTGTTTTACGATTCAGATAAAATGATGCTGATTTCCAGACTTGCCAGTAGATCTTGCAAACAGTCTTGACTGCTTGTGCAGAAAGCCAGAATGGGCTCTTATCTTTAACAAACCTACCGTTACTGTAGCCAGTGACCTGGTTTGTTTTCATTCTTCTAAGACTAAAAGTTTTGGGGTAGGTTTAGTTAATAGTGTTTACCTAGTATGTGCAATTCCTGGATTTGAGCACTAGTAACACCCCACACACCAAAAAGGAAAAATGAGGGTCTGCTAAAAGTGAGCAGTGCAGGCCAGGAGGTGGTGGCGCACGCCTTTAATCCCTGTACTCAGTAGGCAGGTAGATCTCTGTGAGTTTGAGCCCAGCCTGGTCTACAAGAGCTAGTTCCAGGACAGGCTCCAAAGCTACAGAGAAACCCTGTCTTTATAAAACAAAACAAAAATGGGTGAACAGTGTAGCTAGGCGTGGAGGGGCATGGCTTTAACCTCAGCACCTAGGAGGCAGAGTCAGGCAGATCTTTGTGAGTTTGAGACCAGCCTACTCTACAGATTGAGTTCCAAGACAGGTCTATTACACAGAGAAACTATCTCAAAAACAAAGGGGGTCAGGCAGCAGTGGCGCACGCCTTTCATCCTAGCATTTGGGAGGCAAAGAAAGGTGAGTCTTTGTGGATTAAAGACCAGATTGGTCTACAGAGGGAGTTCCAGTACAGGCAACGAAAAGCAAAGCAGAGAAGGGGTGGGGGAAATGGTTTGTATGTTCTAGCTTACACTGCTAAACCTGTATCCTTTACCGCGTGTTTTCTAATTTGCATTCAGGTTGTCCGGGGACACTACAAAGGCCAGCAGATTGGCAAAGTAGTCCAAGTGTACAGGAAGAAATATGTCATCTACATTGAACGGGTGCAGCGAGAAAAGGCTAATGGCACAACTGTCCACGTGGGCATCCACCCCAGCAAGGTAGGTACTGAAGGAAAAGGAAACTGCAGCACTTGGGATTTGTTTATGAGGCTCCCTAGGAGTGGGCCCTGTGTTTTAAATTTGGAATCCCTGAGACCATGTGAAGTCAGTGTTCTTACAGTGTGGGCGACGGGGTGATTCTGACATGAGTAAAGCTTCAGCATGGTCAGTAGAACTGAGCGGTAGGCCCTTAGGGAGTGGGTTTAAGCAACTGCTGTTGGAAAGCAACCTGAAGCTGAGGTGGTAATCCCACAAGCTAGCAATTTTTAAACCAGAGTAGAGTGTCCCATAATAGATACTTGTTCTAGACTTTCATGTCAGTTATCCCAAATTTGTAATTGGATCGTTAATAGGTAATATACACAATGACCACTTAATGCTGAGTTTGGGGGCTAAAGATGTGATTTTCAAACAAGTGACACCACATTCTCCCTTCACTGCCATGTAGTACAGTACATTAGCGTGTTGTGACACACCACCTTTTCTTTTTAATTTCTTGTGTGTTTTGCTCCTGTGTATGTCTGTGTCACTTGTATGTCCATGGAGACCAAAGACACATTGCCTTAGTGAGGTGTCTCTTTACAGCAAGAACATTCTTATTTGTAACATACTCCAATCATTTTTTACCTCCCAGCTCAGTTTTCAAAGTTACAAATACAATGTCCAGTTCTTGGTCTTTTTGTTCCTCGTGTTCACCCTGGATAGAGTTGGCTTTGGCTTCTCTCCAGTCTTGCACTGGATGTGTAGCTGGTAGTTCCAGCCATTTGCCTCAGCTCTGGAATGATGATTTGTAGGACTTTGCACCACCCTGGGCTCAGGGAACGGAAATGGAGTGGAACCTCTAGTTGGGCCCGGGTGGTTGCTTAAAGTCTGAGGCTGTTTCTTTTTCTGCAGGTGGTGATCACCAGGCTAAAGCTGGACAAAGACCGCAAGAAGATCCTGGAAAGGAAAGCCAAGTCTCGACAAGTAGGAAAGGAGAAGGGCAAATACAAGGAAGAAACAATAGAGAAGATGCAGGAGTAGGGGCGTCTCATACAGTTTTCATTAAAGACTGCTGGAGTAGTCCTGTCTTGTGTGGTGCTTTGAAAGGGACCTTGTTTTCCATGGTTCATTCTGCTGCGCTGTCGTGTCAGTCTTTAGGTCTGGAAAGGACAGCTCTTCTTCCCCCCCACCCCCACCCCTTGCATAGCCTGACCCCACTGTGACAAATTTGAGGAACTAGAGTTGGTCCCTTGGATCAAACTCTGGGTGTTTGTTTTGCTTTTGTATTTAATAGCAGGTCTCAGCCAGATCTAAGAGTCAGTTCTCTCATCTTGTGAGTCCTAGAAGCTTGGAGGTGGATACCATCTCTCATAGAGCCTAACTACAAACTACTTAAAGTTCACTGGGGGGGAGAAAAGGTTTATGTCTGTGGCTGTTGTATCTCTGCACGACATGCCTGCAGTGGCCAGAAGAGGGCACTGAGCTTTAAGTTTCTTCTGGAGGAGCAGCTGGTGCTCTTAGCAGCTGTCTTCCCAGATCTGGAAAAACACTTGTAATTGTCTCACAGAATAGAACTTAAGTCATGTGACTCATTTAACTATAGTGAGAGGTTTTTTTTCTCCTGTAGTGTTTTATCAGTGCTGTGAGATAAAGGCTTAGCAAACCTTTGACTTGCAATGTGTAATAATGTTTAAATAGCAAGCAGCAGTGGGTGCATCAGAAATTGCAGCTGAGCTGGGGGTTAAAGGATTTTGAGGCTAGCCTGCGTCATAGGTCATATGTCCTCTTCTCCCCCACCCCCACAAAACAGTACTTGAAGTAGGTGGGAGTGTCCTCCATTGGCAGCTGTGTCACTGTTGCAGGAGGTGTTTTGGAGGGTTTGGCGTTCCTTGAGTAATCATTGACTGGAACAGCGCACTCCAATAGTCTGGCTTGAAGCAGAGATTGGCAGGATCCATTAGGTGGTTGCTACTCAGGAGCAAATTGCCTGTATTTGGAAGCTGGCAGCCTTGCTCAAGCATGGTTTCCCAGCCCTGGGGAGGCAAGCAGATCTCAGTTCGTGGCCAGCCTGGTCTACAAAACAACGGGCTGTTACACAGAAAAACCCTGTCTTGAAAAATCACAAGTAAGTATGGCTGGTATCTGGTGCCCGGGCTCGGGTTTAGCACAAGAACACAGTTCAGACCTACTCTGGAATACACAGGCTCCAGAATGGAGGTGAGGCCATATCTAGACCGTAAACTGTGTATTTGACTGGGGCTTGAACACTCACTTTTGTACTCACTCCATGGGGGTGCAGGTGGAGAGAATCCTCAGCCTAATGAGAGAAGGTAAACCTGAGGTGTGTAGGTTGATCAGTGAAGGAGAGCTGTGATGAGCAGTTTTTTGGGTGGTTGGTTAGGTTTTTCTTTTTCGTGTTTTTGTGGGGGTTTTTTTGTTTGTTTTCCCCGAAGGAGTTCTTAGTGTATGAGGAAGGTGGCTGATGTGAAAGCTATGGAGTGACACTTCAAGTCATGAAGAAGCCTAAGCCCCAAATGGTGATGAGTGAGGGGGGTGTGAATACACTTAAGAACCAGCTTTCACCCATGCTCTGCGCCTGCCCCACCTCC